AAATTCTTTATCCCTTTTACTATAATGAATTTACTTTTCTTTCCAGGTACAAGGAGAAATAAGACATCATATCTCAAATGTTTCGACTAATATTCCAAATGAACAGAGACAATATGGCAATTTATATTTTTTGGATACTGAACTGGCAAATCAACTTCGGTCTTCTGGCCCACAAAATCGAGCAGAATTAAATCGATAAATCGTCGACCTCATCTCTAATTACTTGAACAATCACAATCCATTTGCTCAAGCATATAGATTTCTTAAGGATGTCTATCAACAACAACAACAAAGCAATCGTCATCCAACATTGGAATTGTACATCAATAACAACCTTGCCCGGGATATTAATTTCAGACAATATGGCGCGGTACAGGCCAATGAAATAGCAGCCGTATTTATTTCTGAAGATGGGAGACCGCCCCTGGATCATTGCTTACATGTTTATTGTCGAGACAACGACCAGACTATCCACAAATTACCATATCTTAGTGTCAATTGCGATGCAATGACCTATCCTCTATTACATCCAAGAGGTGAAGCAGGATGGCAGTCTAGAACACCACATCAAAATAGAAGAGGCTATATATTGTTACTGGAATATTATAGTTTCAGAATAGCTGTTCGACCAAATACCTTCAACCTATTTGTAATGGCAGGCAACCTGACACAACAGTACATCGTAGATGCATACGTAAAAATCGAACAGCGTCGACTACAATTTATTACTGAAAATCAACCACGTATTAGGCAAGAAATATTTCAAAAATTAATCGACTAGTTAGACTCTAGACAATTAGATGTTCATTATCAACCAGGAAATATTTTCATCCTACCGTCGACATTCATAGGAAGTCCACGAGCATTTGGACAAAACTATTTGGATGCCATGTCTGTAGTCACAAAACACGGGAAACCAGATATTTTCCTAGCATTTACTTGCAATCCTGCATGGCCTGAAATCAGGAATAACTTAGATGCAAATCAACATTCCTCAAATAGACCTGATTTTGTAACCAGAGTGTTCAAGAGCAAATTAAAGGAATTAATAGAAGATATTGATAAACGACAAATTATGGGAGTTTGTGTTGCTTACGTTTACGTAATAGAATTTCAGAAAAGAGGACTCCCGCATGCGCATATGTTGATTTGGTTAGAAGAATCAGACAAAATATTCTACCTAGCAGCAATCGACCGTTTAATTTCAGCAGAATTTCCCGACCCTATCGCGCATGCCAACATGCACGAATTGGTCAAAGTACATATGCTTCATGGACCTTGTACCAGTGCTCGATGCTTAGATGAAGAAGGACATTGCAGCAAACAATTCCCGAAATCTTTGCGTGAAGATACCTTATGCAATCCCTCTGGATATCCGTTATATAAAAGACGGCCAATAGAAACACCTATACATATAGGTCGAAGAACAGTAGATAATGGTTGGGTTGTACCATATAACGCTTATCTACTTGAAAAATACGAAGCTCACATTAACGTGGAGGCTTGCTCTTCAATGAAAAGCGTAAAATATTTATTTAAATATATATACAAAGGATTTGATAGAGCTCAAATTGTCGTACGAACCGTGGAAGAAGACGGCCAAACAACAACTATCCAGGAACCTATGTACAACGAAATTCAAACGTTTCTGAACGTTCGCTATGTTAGCGCGCCTGAGGCGGAGGATTTATACATTCGAAATGCACGATATGTCTCATGCTATTACCAAACTCTCTGTACATCTTCCGAATATGCAACAAGTCTATTTTAATACAAATAGTACCATTCCTGACGTCGTAGAAAGGGCCGCAACACAACACACAACGTTAACAGGATGGTTCGCCTTAAATACCCAAGATGAAGAACCTAGACAATACACATAGGTACAGATACCTTATAACTATGTGTGGAAAATAACACAAACAAGAATCTGGGTAAAACGTCAACGTCATTTTAATCGTACAATTCTTAGATTATATTCTTTACATCCTAGAGAAGGCGAAAGATTTTATCTTCGTCAACTTCTTTTGCATAAAACAGGATGTAGATCATTCGAAGACATTCGTACTGTACATGGCCGTACGTACGAAACGTTCCGTGACGCTGCTATTGCGATGAACCTTCTCACGGACGATAGTATTTGGTTCACCACGTTGCAAAAAGCTATACTCGTACAACTTCCACGAGCTCGACGTCGTATGTTTTCACAGATGTTGCTGTTTTGTGAAATCGAAAATCCATTAGCATTGTGGGAACAATTTAAATATCATTTATCTGAAGATTATATACGACGCTTAAACGATAACGACCTAGCCTACAACTATGCCTTGGCTTACAACAATCGATACCTAGCACTACAAGGTTAATATTTCTATCAATAATTACTTTCATTAATTCATTTAAAATTGATACTTATGTTTTCAAATACCCTTTTTTATTTCACATTTTTTAAGCATATTGAAACCGTTTATTTTCGTATTAGAACATTTTTGAATTTAATCACTTTATATGTAACAGTACTGTTATGTAATATGAATTCAATATTTCAATATATTTATCGCTATTAATTTAACAAAACATAAGCATTTGTATTTCAATCAATTTCAGATGAATACAAAATTATATTAAAACTATATTAATATGATAAGTAATTACTCAATATAATTATATAATGTTTATACAACTACTTATTACATTTTTATTTTTAGGCAAATCAAACAGAGACTTTCAACTGCCCTTACCCACTGAACCAGTAGAACACCTAATCGAAGATGAATACGATTATGACCAAGCAGAAGAACAAGAAATTGCTAATAGGAACATTCCCCTGTTAAACCAAGAACAACGACGTATTTTTACCGATATACTTTTAGCCGTAAATGAAAATAAAAGAGTTTCACATCGTCTTTTCTTTATTGACGGATTTGGAGGTGCAGGAAAAACATTTCTATTGAATACACTACTGGCTTACCTACTAGGAAATAATCACCCTTACATTGCTATGTGTTATACAGGTATCGCAGCCAGCTTACTGAAAAATGGCCAAACGATTCATTCTGCTTTTATGTTACCGGTTCCATTTCTAGAAAATTCAACGTCAAGGATTCGCAATCAGAGTGCCATTGCTGATAATATTAGATATTCAAAAATTATTGTCATTGATGAAATATCGATGGTACATAAAAGTATATTTAATGAAATAGATAGGAAGATAAGAGAAATAATGAACAATGACATTCCATTTGGCGGCAAGATTATTGTAATTCTAGGCGATTTCAGGCAATGCGCACCTATCGTTCCATTTTCCGGCAAAAATGAAACTATTTCTGCATCAGTGAAATGTTCCCAACTATGGCAACACTTTGTTCAGTACGATCTTCTTACGAACGTTAGAGCACTGCCACAGCAAAACGAATTCAAAGATTGGCTCATGACCATAGTAAATAATTCCGAAATTTTACGTCACTTAGAAAATGGCAGAGTTACTATAGTCAAAATTCCTAACCATATTATTGTAGAAAATGTTACTGAAACCATTTACGGTAGCAATTTAATTGAACACGATTTCACACTATTACAAAAAGCGATTTTGTCTATGTTAAACATTCATGTGAAGGATATCAATGCAGTTGTTTTAGAAAAACAGTCAGGCAGATCACGACAATATCTAAGTGTTGATAGTATTATCCGAGAAGACGATACAACTGAAAATGCTGCTCATGATTTAGATTCCGCATGGCCACAAGACTTTAAATTCTTTGGATGCTCCAGGACTTCCTCCCCACATTCTTACACTAAAGATTGGTGCAGTTATCATTTTAACGAAGAATTTAGATGTAAAGAGAGGTTTATGTAACGGCACACGCTTATTGATTCATAATTTACACGAAAATTTTATAGAAGCAAAACGAGTAGAAGACCCTAATAATGAACCTTCGATCGAATTAATTACCAGAGTTGACAATATCGCTCTAAACTCTCTTGATCTACCAGTCAACTTGAAAAGGAGACAATTCCCTGTACGTCTGGCTTTTGCAATGACAATTAATAAAAGTCAAGGTCAAACTTTGAACAGTGTCGGCTTATTTTTACCAGTAACAGTATTTGATCACGGACAACTGCATGTTGCACTATCAAGTGCAAGAAGTTTTGACAACCTCAAGATTCAAATGACAAATATAGGTGACCGTCAATATGTAGCTGAAATTTCAAATGATCACTCTTAGACTGTTAACGTACTATATATAATGAGCTATTGCAAAACAGCATAATCCAGTAAAATGAAGAAAAATAGTAAGAATTTCTTTCTTGGACAAATATTATACAATATGGAATGTAGATATATTTCAAAGACCATTGTACTCAAGCGCTACAAAAGCAAATAACATAAGGAAATAGAAAAGGTTGATCTAACTATAAATTACAACATAAATGGTAGTGGAGGAACCATACATTCACAAGCAAAATCATGTTACCATATACTATTCTGTGTATTTATACTTACTACAATACTAATGGGTCAAATAATGACTTTTATGTAAGTTATACAAAATAATTTTCACAAATATTCTTCTGAACATCTTATTGTACATTTTAATCCTATCAACTGCGACTTATTTACCAAAAACCATATCATATTTATAAGATATAAACAGTTTTGTTGACAAAAAATGTATGTCCACTGACGTTTTTTAGATGAATCGTTGAAAAAATAAACTATGTAAGGAATATGAACGATGAACCTACAAGCTACAAACCACAATATAATGCTGAAAAAAGGATGCATGGTTTGCAACAACAGAGAAACTTTTCAATACAAAATGCAGATTACACCATCAACAATCTTTCCATTTTTAAGTCTATTTTTCAGTTTATTTAAAATATTAAACAAAAAGCAATATAAGAAAACGGAAAACCCCACTTAAATAATGTGCACCCAATATTAGATCACAAAAATTACGAAACGCTCACATTTGGAAGGTCTAAAAATCTGTGATTATATGTTGTCTGCTATTTACCATGATGCTAATGTAACAGAAGAAGCTTGGAAAAATAAACCTTATAAAGAAGAAGAAGTCGACTTAACCATAAACTGCAATATTAATGCTGAGAAAAAGACAACTTGGAAGCAAACTATAATAGGAAAAGATGACAATCAATCATGTTTTTCCAAAAACAGATGGAAAATGCAATCTATATTATCTGCATTTTCTCCATTTTCAGGTTTCTCTTTCAGTAAAATTAAAATTACAAAACAAAAGACACAACAGAAAGAAAATCCACTTAAATAGTGTTTACCCATTATTATAGCAAACCATATATCTATACAATTACAGAATGGATACTAATGTCTGAAACATCTCACGTAAGTTTCTTTGATATAAGATATTGTTCTGAAAACATTCATGTACATTATTTTAGTGGTATCAACTATATTTTTTCGCAAACACAGATATTAAATATTTCAAAAAATCTGACATCTTAACAAAAAGTCCTGCATTATAATTTTTTTTCAGATGACATGATGGAAAATGAAATCATATGAAAAAGGGATATGATCTACCTAATTATAAATGCTAAAGGAAGGATAATTTAACGACAACATTTACTGAAAACCACACAAACACAATATATAATCTTTCCATTTTCAGATTTTTTTTTTCAGTATATTACAGATGACAGATAAGATGTTTCATGTAAGTTACTGTTACAAAACGTTTTTCAATTACATTCTTCTCACGATTTTAATTTTACGTTTATAGATATTTAATATTTCTAAAATATTTTAAAAAACCTTGCTAACAAAAAATGCTACATTTACATTTCCATTTTTTTTCAGATAACAATAAAAAAATAAACCATATAAAGAGATATGATCGACCTAGATAATTTTTGCAATATGAATACTGGAAGAAGAATAACTTAGGAAACAAAGTCTAATGAGAAACAATGATAAACACTGGCAATCATTTTTTGCAAAAATAGATGGAAAATACAATTTTCCGTGACCAATTTTTTTTCAGTATACTTGAAATTATAGAACAAGTAAACAAAAAAATCAATGAAATAAATAACAGTCAAGAGAGTGAAGTAACTTAGATGATACATTAAAGTTTTGGTAAATGGTTTTTTTTTTGTACAAATTGAGAAGCAAATTTAATGTATGCAAGGATTATAAAAACACCTAATTCAGCAACCATTTACCATTTGTTCAATTGAATATTTATTTACTTATTTAGATTTACTTTTTTTCAGATATATATTATTTATATTCGTTTTATATTTGTTTTTAATTTTTGAATAATCAGATTTTATCGTTTAATTTTTGTGCGTCTTACAGTTTCATTTTTTTTTTCTTTTTGTATTAAGTATTTATCATTTTATTGAAACTAAAAGACGGGTGGAAGGAGGGTTAGGACTCGACATGCAGCCACCTCCTCGCGGTGGGTCCTGGGTAGTCCGAACATGGACTAGCTGAGAGCTGCAAATTAATCCTTTTCTTCTAATATTAATCAGTTACAGATCACTGCTTTAATTGTTTCTGTTTAATGATGACAAATGTTGCAAAATGTTGATGTGAATTCTACTTTGCAACGATCTCTCTACAAAGAAATCAACAATATTCCTCACAGTCCTTGTCAGTCCCTGTCAGCTGTTTTGATAATAAGCTATAGATGAAGGAAAAGCAAACTTTAATGGAAACTAAAGGCAGTCAGGTATGTTTTTTTCCAAAAACAGAAACAAAATGCCACTTTACCAGCAGTTTACTATAAAATCTTGCCATTTCAGATTCTTTCTACAGTATATTTAAAATTGTAGAACACATGACTATATAAAGCAAAAACAGAGTCCACCTAAATAATATGTAACCATATACTATTACTGTGTACAACTACAAAACTACAAAATGATCACATCACCATAGTAAAATCTGATAATTAAAAATGTTGATGTAAGTTATTTTAATACACATATACTGGTAGATATAATTTTATATTTGATAAATTTTTTTAGGAATTTAATACCTTCACGCTGATGTTAGATCCTAAGCGAATTATACTTCGACGATGATAGAAAATGCCATTCAAAAATATCAATTGTTATAAAACCTAATAGACTTTACAATGAATACATATATCATTCTTTATCACTTTTCCAATTTTCTTATATTAATTGTTAGCCGTAAAATCTAATAAATTGTAATTTTTCAAAAATAAATCAATATATAATTGAATATCACTTGTTTAATTTCCTTATCCTTTATACTGTATATACTTTCAACTTAAAATGAAATTCGTCAAATTGTTTTCAATATTCACAATTTTACGAAATATTAATATTTCAGATCACATCGTACCGCTATTAAAATTTGTTTTGACAATAGAAATTTTCCATCTGCTAAAATAGATTCTGGTGTTTATTGTGCCACTAGAAGATACACTTACTATCCTCAAGGCCTACAAATTTAATATAATCACTTCCTAACTTATAGAGTAAATGATTTTCTTTTAAGCAAGCTATTGCTATACCAGGAACGAAAAATCCTTATAATTTTTAGAAATCGATCCATTGATAATGAAAAAAAAAGAAATAAAAATTGCTTAAACCTCATTCTTTGACGTTCAGAAGTTCTGATCTTTTTGAAAACACTTTTAAAAGTATAGAATTAAGAAATAAAAAATGGTAGAAGAATAGGGAAAGGTAGAAGTAACATACAGTATATAGCATTTAATTAACACACTAATGGCCGATTGCACCAATATTTTCTTAAGGATAGAATTACAAAGGAGACATTAAAATTTGAGGATCGCCTAAAATTTTCTGGGTTGCACCAACACATTCTGGGATTTCCCCATATTTCCTTAACTGAGCTTTCCTTAAACTTGACAGCTCCATAGGAAGCTAGTGATTTTGTCATGTTCTGATGCAGTTGTCTGCCCTGCCTGAAAATATTAGATGTTTTGTGCTGAAAATGACATTTCACATGATTTCACATGTCCACATTGAGGTTATGTTGTAACGTAAGGTGGTGCTGCAATTTTTGAAAGAATGAATTTTTTATTTTTGCAAAGTTTTATATTGTGGATCATGAGTGCTGCTGAAAAAAGGAAAAGGGGTGCCAATTTGACAACAAGTGAAACTAGAGTACTTCTATCTATAATTACGGAATTTAAAGGGATCATGGAAAATAAAAAAACTGATGGTGTTTCTGTACAAGAAAAAAACCAGGCGTGGAGTAAAATTACTGCGAAATTTAATGCAGCTTACCTTGAAGGGAGGCATCGAACAATGGACTCCTTGAAAAAGCTATTTGACAATAAAAAAAGGGAGCTGCGGAAACCGAAGGCAGAAATACTTAAAACTGGTGGTGGCCCTTCACAGAGAGCTGGCAATACATCCCAAGATTTACTCTTTTCCATAGTGGATCCACTCACTGTTGTTGGTGGAACAACTTCATATGGGTCAGGCAGCAGCTTTCTGCTTTATGAGAAAAATCAAGACCCCTTGGAATGTAGGTCCCATTAAGTTATTAATCGATCATATTTATATATTTATCATGTTGAGTCACATTATACAGTTAGCAAATTTCTGATCATGTTCAGATATAGCTTAAAATATTATAATAGGATCAACGATCCCAAATTCTGATCAAATGACTGCTCAGTTTTTTGATTTGGTTAGGGCATAGTAACAGGTCTTTTGAAAGGGATCCAAAGTCTTGAAATGTGGTGTTCTTTCTTAATGTTTTTCATTCTGCATATTCTTTATTTTTAAAATATGAGGAAAGACATTCTACTTTATTTAATTTTGAATGTTGAAGTTGGTGGAAATATTGTGTGATATTCATAATTGTGACTGAATCGTTGTAGAGTTACATTCAATAAGCAGGAACCAACATATCACTGTAGCGATATTTTTTTTTGCTTACAACTGTTTTCCATAATAAATTACTAATTCTTATATTTTTAAGGTCATCACTGAATCATCACAATTGATGGAAGATGGGAATCAAGAAAATAAATTCCAGAAGTATGGAGGATCTAGCAGATATATCAAGGGGATGGAAGAAAGGGTCAGATTTGAAAAAACCTGTTTCAGCACAATTGAGGCGATCTATCAGTAAAGTGAGTAACTGTATGATAAAGTATTCTTTGTTTACTACATATATCTTGTACAATAACATACATTCACAGTTTTGAATAGTTCCACTATATGTTTCAACCTTTTTAGCCAGCACAAAGTGATAAGGCTGAAAGCCAAGCAAGCAAACGTGCTAATACCTGCAAGCCTTCAAATCGTAGAAGACCTACTGAGACAGTCATAAGGTCACTGTGATCAAACCAGCTCGCTGAAAAATACAACTTGTTGGTTCATAAAAAGAATGTTATTGCAGACCAAGCTCAGAAGAAGCTCGAACAAGAATTGAACATGAATTAAGGGTACAAGCGTTTAAATATGACAGAAATTAAAAAGAGGCAATTAGACTCACTAAGACCCGAGGCAGAATGACACCTGATTTCCAAGACTATTTTATTAATGGTTTGCTGTTTTTTTTTGTATTCTATACCTGTTTTTTGAAAAATGAGATTTAACTCTTAAGTACCAAAGTGTTATTTTTGTTACATAAGTACAGATGTGACTAGGCTAGACCACAACAATTTTACTAATCAAGAACAGTTGTTTCTTCATATTCTACTTAAACAAATGTTGCAATGTCTTAATATATTGTTATTTTGAAAATAAAACAAAATTTACATTTACAACTAATTATAAATATTAATATTGGTCATAATTTTTGGAAATATAAAACTATCAGACCATACATACTTAAGAGGCTAATCACTAATGTACACTAATGTACTTATTTCCTTGGAAGTTTTTAAGTTGTAGCTTTTGGCTAGTCAAATCACTACTATATTGTGATATTTTCAAAATATATTATTGTTTTGTTTTTTGATTAGTTTTTATACTTTAGTTTTGTTTGAAGACTGTAGTTTGTGATAGTTTTGTTTGAAGGCGATTGTTGTGATGTAAAAACAATAAAAGGGAAAATATAACAAAAATATTTTATTCCTCGCATTATAACTCGAGAAAAAGAAACATTCAAAGATTTCCAAAATAATTAATCATTTATTCTTGAGCAGTATTGACATTGTGATTTTGTATTGTAGGCATTTTAATATCCTGTGTTACAATCAAATAATTGAATTTTGACATAACTTGGGAATAAGCTGGCTATAGTTCTTAATACCCTTCCAACAATTCTGCAGGCTGTGCTTGCATGCATTCCCGTAAAATAAGCAGTTTGCCTAATATGACCTGCATTGGCATAGTACCTTAAGCAGCATAGAAGCTGATTCATTGGTGAAATGCTGTGATTCCTAAAATGAATGCATTCATATAGATATTTGTCTTGTAGGTGGGTCAACTTATATACCTGTCATGATGATACTCTAATTGAGATCATCTATTTGCGATAATACATGCAGCACTGTTTCCTTGTATAACCGGAACCTTCTGAAAAAACCCAGTGGATTCATTTCTTCAGAGTAATTTGGCCGACTATAAGTGCGCCTGGGTAGTCCCATCACAATAATATCTACCAGCTCTAAATCATCATCTAGAATATCTGGTAAGTCGCCCAAATAATCCAAATATGAGTACTCCATTGTAACTCACACGAACACAATACAACCTTAATAGGGTGATATCTACACTTTACAGCTCAAGGTCCTGTTTGAGGTATCACATCAAATATAAAATGGAGTCGACCAAGACGAAAAAAAAAACAAGTCAATAACACCAAAAAGGCCTTCCTCAGAAAGCACTTCTACACCACACAGAGGACAATATACAAGAGAATTGTTTTGGTATTTGACAAAACTATTTGGTTATGTTTTCCCACGCACGATTGCCACGTTGCAGGTCCAACGACAATTATTTCGCCGGTTGGTAGGAGAAATGTCGACAAAATCACCAAGTATATCTCTTCTATCACAGTACTTGGCATCTTTGTAGTCAAAAATAGTCCCAGTTTGGTTTAGTTGCCAGAAAAATAACTAGTTGTATAGTCCAAAAGCAGTTTCTAAGTATAAAGAAAATCACCAATATGGTGACAAATCTTCAAGCTTGGCAACCATGTACCACACTGTGCGCTAAGTACCGTTTAAGTGATCGTTAGCTGCCACTTAACTAAGGACAGTTTAATCGGAGAATAATCCTCACTTTTCGTTGGTGCAACCGAAAATGTACCTTTAAGGATTGCTTAAAGTTAAGAAACGAATAAGTTATCCGTAAAGTCGTTGGTGCAATCGACCATAAAACAACTAGGCAATTAAGGGCGCTATCATCAATAGTTCCTACAATTGTCTTGTAAAACGCCGTTATAACCTTCATTTTCATACTCTTTTCTATCCTTCAAAAAGAAGTATTAGATTTCTACTATTCCATATCATTGTCAGGGCTGTCCTATTGTGAGGTTGTTTTATTTTAATGATATGAAATTTCAGGCTAATAAAAAATAAGACATAACCTGAAAATAAAGCGCTGACACGGAACAGCAGAAACCTTGAAATACCCCTACCTTTCTGAAAAACTGGACAAACTATGACAATTAATGAGGTCATAACAATTGTAGGAACGATTGACAACACAGCCCTAAAACATCGAGAATAGTGAGAGATTAAAGAGGGTTTTTCTATTTTCACTGTCCATGGTCTATATTCTCCGAAGATAACAAAGATACGGACTTGGCGACTTTTTCATAACAAAGCTCATACTTCGGACTCAAATCTGCAGCTGTTTTCATCATTATTCGTTTCCGTTGAAAATTTTCGATTTTTTTAAATTCCTCCATCAAGCGCGTGCTACCAAAACATCTAAAACGTACCATTTTCGGCTTTATGACGATCACTTCATCCAATATTGGATCATACCGATAAGCATTTCCTTTTTTAGGCGTGAAAATAAATATTTATGAATAGATTTAAAATCTCTATACAGGGTGACTTTGAAGTTGAGTCATTAATTTTCAAATAATGATTGTAGAAGGAAGATAAACCAAAATATGTGTGTAAAAATAAAAAAAAATTAAAAAAAAAAACCTTGTTTTATAAAGTATCCTCCCGACAAGTATTTCAGTGCGGACCTGTATTTGATCGTGAGGTCTTGGAGCACCGGCATGCCGTCACCTGATTCACGAGCCCGTTGTACTACATTAACAAAGGCACGAGGGGTTGGTTGCACTCGATTGGGAAACCGATCCGCATAAACATGTGCCATTTTTTATTTCGTTTGAGCCACGCAACAGACACCACTATTCACTCACGCGTTACCGACTGACACTGACTGTATACAAATGAATAAAATAATTGTAAAAACATCATTCCAAACTCTTTCGCTTTTTTGTTTCCGATGCGATGAACCGATAAGGCGGATTATATCCGTTGTCGCCAAACACGAGCACATAATATTATTATTGAGACAGGGCGGTACTCAAACTTCCAAAGGGCTATAACTTTGTTACTTTAATTTTACCAGAAAAATGGTAAAGGAAAAAAACATTTCTTTTGATCAGATCTACTCACTGTTAGAATAAATGACTCAACTTCGAAGTCACCCTGTATATAACAGTCAAGTACGATTTGGCAACGTTGCAATGTTTACCCGTAACTAGGCAATTTGACATTTGCAGTTTATACAAGTCATTATCAGTTTAAATACGATAAATATGATTGTAAACCCTAATTAGTGCCATAATTTTACATGACACTTAATTTTAATCCACTCTTAAGAGACCAGAAGTCTACAAGATTGAATATAGCTGTGTACTTATAACAGCCAAGTGGTTGCAACAGTGGTTACAGTTACGCGTATGTCCGGTTGCATCCAAAAAACACGTTACTTAACCTTATACTCTCCTCAGGGAGGTAACACTCATATGAGCGAATGGGAAACTAAGCACTAGTATGGGTGCACAATATGACAACCATGTCCCACCTTCAAAACATTGTCTGATTGGTCAAATTTAAATTTCCGGAGGGTTCCTTTATGGCGCTGTTCAAGGGAATGAAACTCATGAGCGAATGGGAAACAAGGCAGTGTTGTGGGTGCACAATATGACAATCATGTTGCACCCTCAAAAAATGTGCGGCTTATCCACAACTGACGTTGTTTGATTGGTCAGATTCAAATTTCCGGTGGATTTCATCCTATAGCTGTGTGCTTTACAAAAATAACCTTACTTCGCAAGCCATTTTCATTTCTTCTAATATAAACATTTAATTTTTATTGAATAAAGTCCCTATTATGTTATTTGAGACATGTGCCTTTTGTTCAGAGTTATGAAGTATAAACATGTAAATACCCAGAGCTCTAATATATTTGTAAATACTATAAGACAAATCAAAACTTTAGTATTGGTATGATGTTTCCAGTCAATAGATAGGCTTCTGGAAATGCTGAGGAAGATCAAAAATGCAGCGGTTACTCATTTGAGAAGTGTAACATTTGAAGATCATACCTGTTGAAATCTCCGTATAACTTTTTGAACAGAAGAGTTTAGCCGCCGGTGTCAACCCCTGTGATCCTGAGAATTATCAGAAGTTCGGAAATTACTTGTGATCTAACCAGAAGGCACAGCTCTGAAGGATATTTGCAAACAATATTTGTAAGTTTTTATATGGCTCAATAACCAGTGATGATTTATACTGCTTTTTGTCGAAAACAGTTTCCATACTTCATTTCAAATCATCCATTCTTAGAGCAGCAGGGTTGATATGCAAAGCTCACTATAATTTCAATGGCATCCAAGCCATATGTTATTGAACAATAACATGGATGCCCACAGGGCAGTATCAGATGGGCTATGGTCTCTTTTGTAAATCCACTTGAACTTTAAATACTCCAGTATAACAGCAACTTGATATAGATATTTTGCTAAACTATGATATATTGTTATTTTGGGAAAGGAACATTAAGTTTTAGATCATTATTTGAAAAGAACTTCAAACATTCAGATGTCTTGTAAATTAAGCAATGCCTGGACAAATCAACTGATAAGTCATTTAAATGACGGAACAGCAGAATGTATGAAATTTTTTTCTCATCGATAAGGGTACATCTTTATAACACAGCTTTCTGAAAAATCAGAGAACTACAGGGTGACGATCGTTGGGGGCAATCAATGTGCCCATTGATAATTTTGTGCAAGACAAGTAAGCCAAATTCCAAGCTGAATCTTTCAAGAGAAGTCATACCTTCCTAATGTGTTATATGAAAAAGACCAGAGTTATCAACAAAGATACCCCTCATATTACGAAATTTGATATTAAAAATATTATATACTCTGTATATTTCCAACTGAATATGTAAAGCATGGAGGTCTTTTCTACATTTTTTGCAGTTATAACTTGAGGACAAGTTAGAACAGCTATTTTTTTATATTACATAACCTTCACTATGTGCACCAGTATAATTTTTATATTGAATAACTGTTAATAATGCTTTAATATAACTA